GGGAGCATGTTGGCACGAACAGAAAGAGAAGCACAAGCCCGCTGCTGCTGAACTGAGCAGGCTGGCTCTGAAGGCCAGAGGGGAAAATTGCCGTGAAGAAACATCAAGCTCACTCCCTTTGAGGGTCACCAGGGAAATGATCCTTATAGAGTAAATGATGTTTACTCCTTCACTTTTCTCCCACTCTTTGGGAAATCTACGACAGGCTAGGCTTAAGCTTCCATGCTTTGAGTGCTTGCCTCCCTGGAGTTTGAAATTGCTGTATTTTCTTGGACCATGAAGAACCAGATGGGAAGCTGAATTTTATAGTCTCTTCTTCTGTGGTCAGCAAAAATAAATCTGTGAATCTTGCTCATCAGTTCAGGAGCTGGGTAAGCTGAAGAGAAAGGAAGGAGGGGCACATGGCTTCTACCTCTCTTAGGCAGCTTTTTCGCATGCCCACCCTGTTATTCCTCCATCTTCATTTTTTAGTTTATTCCATGCTTTTAAGGCAACACAGATCATTCAGACTGACAAAGTTTAACTTGATGAGTCCATTTCCTCTCCCTACTTTGTGCCAGGAAATGTACTAGGCTCCGGGGATCCCGAGGCAAACTAGACAGACATGGTTCTTGCACTCACAGTGTCTATAGGGAGAGTAGACAGTTAAGCAATTACAATAAAGTGGGATGATGGGGCAGCACCAGGTGCCCGGGGTACACATCGCCGGGGGCTCTAACGGTGTCTAGAGGGAGTGATTGATCCAAACAGAGGGAACAGCATGTGCCGAGTTCAGAGCTGATTGAGCACAGCAGGCTGGGATGGGACGGAGGGCAGTATGGTTGGGTTGCTGAGCACAAGCAGGGAAGACGCAGTGGGGAGCCACCGGCGGGCTTTACACAAAGGTACGTTGAGTCTGGTTTACCTAGTGGGGAGTTTGCTGACAGTAATGTGAAGAATAACCGAGGTGTCCCTAATCTGAGAATCATTTGCTCTATAAGGTGGATAAAAAGGCTGTTGCATATTTATCCTGCAGAGAAAAATCCCAAATCTGATGCCTTCTGGAATTTAAATTTTCCTTTTTGTCATATTTTCCTCTGTGACACAATTCAACAGAATCTAACAAGATTCTTTCTTCACACGCGGCCAGTCTGTCAACCCGTTATGAGATTCGATCCTTTTTGTTGCTGTCCTGAATAGTTTATAGGAATAGAACATATCAATGTGCTCTCTCTATGATCCCATAATGGAAGGGGAGTGTGGCCAAATTGCCAAGTCTGCTGTTCTCATTTTTTTGGTTGGTTCCGTGGAAGGCTGCAAATCACCCTCCAATTTACAAAACTCAACTGGAATTTAAATTTCAGAACTGGTTCTAGATGGAATCAAAGATAATTAATTTCATAATAGTCAAGTAGGTGTTGGCATTCTTTCTCCGTAAGCCACACAGGAGCCTGGTGCTCAGCCAGGAAGCTGCGGGGAGGGTGTGTCTCTAGGGGAGGCAATATTTTCCAGTGGCCAGGCCTTCCATTACCAATATCTGCCTCACCTCGGATGAGTCAACCACAGGGCTTCCATGAACTCTGGAAGGTGCTCTGTGCTCTGTAAAGGGCTGGAATCGAGGTTTTCCTCTTTGGCTAAAACTGAAACAATAACAGGAATGTTCCCACCCACCTCTGTCTGCCTCAGGTAGTTGAGGTTTTGGAAATGAATTGTTTTTCAGTCTTCGGAAGATTCTGAGCTCTCTTTCATCTAGACTTTTCCAAAATAAACACACCTGGGCCTGCTGCAGATCCTCACAGGCTTAGCGCTGGATGTTGGCTTTGGTTAGTGTCTGGCTGCCTGAGAGAAGATTTGGATGCCCCTGCCTTCCAAATAGCACAGACCTCCAACAGAAAGCTCTCTTAAGTCTTTAGGCAGGCAACGGGGGTGGGGACAAAGACTTCTCATAGGCAGTGAATACTCAGCACCTAGAACAGAGCCTGGCAAGACATGGGAACTCAGTAGGCTAATGTGTTTGTGGAATAAATGAATGTGAATCACACGACCTTAGTTAGCAAGCCAGGCGTCACTATTTTCTCTCCGGGCTAATATCCCCTTGACCTTTAGCCCTCCCCCCCGTACTTCAGAACTTCCTTTCTGGGATTTTGCAAGTTCAATTCCACTAATATTCTTTGTGCTGTAGGGTTATGAAGGGAAAGAAGACACCAGACCTACTATTAAGTACTGAGTGGTTAAAACAGTGTGAACTTGGGGGGCTGGGGATTTAGCTCAGCGGCACAGCGCCTGCCTGGTAAGTGCAAGGTCATGAGTTCGATTCCTGCTACTGAAAGAAAAACAAAAAAAAAACCCAAAAAACAAAAAAAAAAGTGTGAACTTGGATTTAGATCCTGAATTCTCTGCAAGTACAAGGTCCTAAGTTCAATATCTGGTACCAAACAAAATTTAAAAACTGATTCAGCATTAAAAAGAATCCTGAATTCTCCATTTATCTATTTGATATTAAGGAAGTCACTTACCTTCTCTGAGCCTCAGCTCCTCAGTATAAATGGGTAGTAGTATTTATTTCAAAAGACTGTGGTGAAAATTAAATAACACAATACTTAGCACAATATCTAAACATTCAATACATGATAATAATAACCACTAACATTTAATGAATTCATGACAGGTCTTATTCTAGGTTCTGGGGGTAGAAAAGTGAATAAGAGAAGGAGGATCCTACAATACCCAAGGTAACCTTACAAAATGCATGCAAACCTTGAAAGAAGGCATTTCAAATAGTAAGGACCAGTATGAAAAATCAGATACAGTGGAATGTGCATGGGGTAGCAATGTACTTTAGATGTGGGATCCAAGAATTTCCCCATCTCCCCATCAGGTGCTATTTCAACTTAGACCTGGATGACAAGGAGGAGCCAACCAGTGGAAAGCCAAGGGAATTGTATTCTAGACAGAGGAAAGAATAAATCCAAAGACTTGGAATCAGGAATGAGCTCAGTATATTCCATGGGTGGTGATCAGGCCAGTATGGCAGGGGTGAACTGAAGAAGACAGCAATGGCCAGCAGTGAAGCTGGTGACATGGGGCAGGTCTGGGTCATGTAGGGCATGAAAATCATGAGCTTAGATTTTCTTATAAATGTGATGGGAAGCTCTTGGAGGAGTGTAAGCCAAGGAATGACATCATCTGCTTTCCATTTCAAGATAATCACTCTGGCTACCCTATGTGGAATGAAGTATGGGGGGGGGGACTGAAAGCAGGGACACTGGTCAGGAGGCTACTGTAGCGAGTTAGGCTGTAGATGATGGTGTCTTGGACCAGACAGTGCAGACAGGAGGAAAAGAACAGGTGCAGGTATGTTTTTGAACTAGAGTACATGGAGGTGCAGGAATAAACAAAGAAATAGGTACATAAGAAAAATACTTGATTTTTGGTCTGAGAGATTGGGTTTTCTGAAATGCAGAAAAATGGGTTTAGGGGAAACTCTTAGACAAGGTAGGGTGGAATATGGCAAAGTGACCAGTATCAAGTACAAAAGGAGACTGGCAAGAGTGGCTAACTCTTGAGCTGGATGTAATGCAAGGAAGTCGGGTGAAGGATGGACTCAGATTTCAGGCTTGGCGGATCGGAGGTGGTGGGGATGCTAGTCGGGGTGATTTGACCATAGGTTTGGACATAAACAGGTACAATAAGTTCATTTTCTTTGTCTTCTTTCTTCTTTCATTTATATTATTATTTTTTAAGACAGGGTCTCACTAAATTGCCCAGATTGAGCTCAAACTTGCAGTCTTCTTGCATCAACCTTCCAAACAGCTGGTGTTACAGGCACTCATGCATGCACCAGTGCATTTAGCAAACTCATTTTCAAATTTCCAATATGTTTATTTCTGACAATTGAGGAAACTGACTTAAGTAAAATAACTTATCCAGGATCATATAGTTAGCAAGTAATAAAATCAATATCCTCACACCAAAGTAAGAGTGCTGAACTGTGTAGACGGGTGCTGTGAGAAAGATTTAAAAAGTGAGATTGGGCCAGATTGTGAAGGGCCTGTGATGACAGGATGAAGACTGGTCTTATTTTGCAGGTGTAAAAGGAGCATGCGTTGCAGGCTGTCCAATGGACAATCATCAGGATCAGCGCTGTGATTTTGCAAAGTGCTAGAATCAGAACCCTAAATTATTCATTTATCTATTTATAAAGTACAGTGTTGGCATTGTAAGTACTGGGGTACAACGGCAGGCAAACCTGACACAATCCTGGAAGAACTTAACGAATTAATCAAATAAGGTCGCAAAGAAGTACTATATAAGCTTTGAACTTGAAAAGGCAAGTATATATTGAGGTGTCTTAGGAACCACGAGCTGACCTACTAAGGGGACCAATCTAGACTTTACTGCTGAGATCTGGGCATCCAGTGAACCCATATTTTGTTGCAAACTCATTGTGAACTATGGCAAGTATGTCGCTGCCTTTCTAGGCTTCAATTTCCCCATTCATGAAGAAAGAGGCACTAGAGCATTTAATTTTCCTCCTATTCTATCGATTTGGGTTTTTCCCCCCGAAGACCACAGATCTGTATCACACGCCAAGGCCACTGACTTGACATTAGAGAGCAGTGCTTTCGCCATTGCCTCTCTCTTGTTTAGGAGGCAGGGATTAGTTCCTCGTAGTCATGGCAACCGCCAGGGCCCTCTTTGGGCGGGAACTTGGGGTGACGACAGTTATACGCCACTATTATGCGTCCCACTTGCCAGGTTATAATATGGCCGCCGCAGCAATACCTGCCCATTATTTCACTAAATATCTTGGCCTGAACAGCCCTGGAACCTACTCTAGGTCAGAAAACGGAGAGACAAGTGCTCCAGTACAACCACCAAGACTTCCGGACCCTTGAACCCTGCCCTTAGCCTCTGATCTGTCTGGTAGGCTCCCAGACGCCTCTCTGTAGCGTCACTTCCGTCGGCCGACTTCGCCATAGATTGACAGTCCGTTTGACCAATGAGAAGCAATTCTCCTCTAGACCCCCCCCCCGGCCACTTTTGGAGCAGGAAGCTCCGCCTTTCACCGACTGTGACGTCAGAGTCGCCATGGCAAGTTATCCGTATGGGCAGGTGAGTGCGTGAGGGGTCCGTGGATTCAGGTAGGGGGCGTGCCAAGCCCAAACCCGGGTTTGCCAGGCTCTTCTCTCTCCCAGCTTTCTCCGCGACGTTTACACTGCGAGATTCGCTTCAGCGAGGCCTCGCGCCTGAGAGAAGGGAAAAGGGACTGCTAGTAGCACCAGGCTCACCTCACTCAGGACCACGCATCCATGAGAGGTGGTGTGGGGGCCTTTGACGTTCCACACGCGAGGATTTGGGATCTTTGAACCCCGCAAATCCAGGCTGGTCCCGGCCTGAGTTCCACACCCGTCCTAAGACTTTATAGGTGTCCTGGGCGGGGTGATCAAAGTTGACAAGATCTTTAGAGCTCTGGTTCCACCGGTATCATTTAGGGCGTCCTATAAAAAACAGATTTTTCTAACCACCCTACATGTACTGCATCACAATGGTCAGGGGAATCCTTGGTTGTAGCAGGCGCCACAAGCGACCTGGTGTGATCACTGACGTCGTCCAGCATTTTTGTTTCACATGTAGGAAAAGTGAAATTCAGAGGAGACACAGAATTTATCTGAAGTGAATACCATCAGTTAGGCCGCAGAGCAAAGTTAGAATCTGGGCTATCTGCAAATGCTTCTTCCTCACCCTCCACTCCATCTCGAACCAGCTGAGAACCACAGCAGTGTGATTCTGTATCCAGAATTCTTTTTTGGGTGACAGAGCAGTAGGGTGGTTAAGTATAGTTTAGAGTTAGAGGTAGGTTCATATACTTTGTTTTGATCCCTTGAACAAGATATTTTGCCGGTGTGTGTGTGTGGTGGTGATGATACTGGGGATTGAATCCAGGACCTTTACACTGAGCTGTATTCCCAGCTTTTTTTTTCTTTTTTTAATTTTGAGAAGGAGGTCTCACTAAGTTACCTAGGCTGAGCTGAAACTTGTGATCTTCCTGCCTTCACTTCCCAGAGTGCTGGGATTACAGGCACGCACCACCATACTCTGACTAATATTTTGCCTTTCTAAGGCAAAGTTTCTTCCTCTGGAATAGGGTGTATATATAGCTACTATGAAAAATAATGAAATGATGTTTTTAAACTTGGTACAGAGTAAGGTGTAACATGTGTCCCCTTTTAGTATTTTGAGTTTTACTAGCATCCTAAAAGGTCAGTCCTAGGAGGCCCTCAAAACGGCCTCCATTTTAGAGGAGGACATAATCCAGAAAGAGATCCTGGGTTGCCTGAAATCACATTATAATTTAGGAAACTCATGCAGGAAAAATTAGAACACAAGATTAAATGGTGTCTTAGCATACAATTAACCATAGCCACAGGCTAAATGATGTCATAAGGGTCCTTGAAGGAACTGTAGTTCTGTACTGTTTACTCAGCAGTTGGATCTCCATTACACCAATCATGAAGACCCTTAGGCTTGCAGGTATTATTACCCCTAATCTACAGCTGAGGAACAAATCCTGAGCGGTTACATGGGCTAAACGTCACACATAGCAAATGAAGGTGAGGCCAGGGCTAGAATTTATAACTCCTTTTATTGCATACTTAGCAGAGGTAGGAAGAGAGGCCAGTGTTGGCTGGGGTTAGGAGGAAGTAAAATGCAGTAGTGTTTTCCAAACTACATTCCATTTTCTGAGTCTTGTGAGATGTCAATTGTTTTGTTTCGTTTTTGGCAGTACTGAGGATTGAATCCAGGGCCTTTGCACTCAGCTACATCTCCAGCCCTGTTGTACTTTTGTCTTTTATTTTGAGAGGGGGTCTAAGTCACTCAGTTGCCCAGGCTGGGCTACAGCTTGCAATCATACTGCCTCAGACTCCCAGAGTGCTGGGATTACAGGTGTATGCCACCATGCCTGGAAATAGGTATTATAAATAGAGGGGGATTCTATGGTCTTACAAGTTTGGGACATTTGTTAAATACAGTTGAATATATTTGTTCATAATAGGGTATTTCAGAATTCTTAATTTGCTAAATGTGTTTAACCATGGAATTCCCCTTTTCTTCCTTTTTTTTTTTTTTTTTGGTCTAGTCATTTTTATGACACTATAGTATTCCTGAGGAACACAATTTGTGAATTCATTGCCATAGGGCATTATTTCCCAGTGACTGGTCTGCATCTGAATCACCTGAGAGCCTTTTAAGAGAGGATACTTGTTAGCTGGGCATAATGGTGCATGTCTGTAATCTCAGCACTCTGGGAAGCTGAGGCAAAAGGATCACAAATTTGAGCCCAGCCTGAGCAATTTAGTGATTTAGCAAGACCCTGTTTTAAAAGAAAGAATTTAAGAAAGCCTGGAGATATAGCTCAGTGCAAAGGCCCTGGCTTCAATCCTCAGTACTGCAGAAGCCTGGTGTGGCGGCACACACCTGTAATCCCAGTACGCCAAAGGCCACAGCAGGAGGATTGCCACGAGTTTGAAGCCTGGGCTACTTAGTGAGTTCAAGACCAGCCTGAATTACATAGTAATTTTCCAGTCTCAAAAAAACAAAAAACCATCCTCAGTACCACAAAACAACAATAAAGTAACAACCAAAAACCCATACTTTTGATTCCTACCTCAGACTTGGTCTGAGCCTAGAAATCTATGTCTTAATAAGCTTTTGGAATACTTTGTATGCATCTTAGAAGCAGTGACAGCCTAGACAGAACTGGACTAGAATCCTAACTCTACCACTTAACAGTTATATATCCTTGGACAAACCATCTGAGGGCTCCAAGCCTTAATTTCCTCACCTGTAAGAGAAATAATAACCTGTAAAAAGGGATGAAATGCAGCAAAGCTTACAGGAAGCTTGTTGCCTTGCTAGTGCATAGTACCGACAGTGTAAGGTAGCAGCTTTTGCTACTCCATTGACCATTGCTATGCCATGCTGCCTGGGCTTATTCTTGGAGTGAAGTATTGAAAAGAAGCACAGAGAAAAAAAGTACAATAGAATAAGAAATGGTACCTTTTTTCACCATGTTACTGTTGTCAGCTTCCTTGTCCCAGGTGTTCTAAGAAAGGAAACTGGTTGTTTTAAGTCATCCAAAGGCTCAGTCCATGCTGCCTCCCTGCCACCCACTACATAGCCCTGGAGGATCCCAGCCAATTGCTAGGAGTTACAATTCCTGTAATTTTCCACTGCCTGCAGCCCAGGGTATTTAAGCATGGACTGAGTGTTGGAATCATAAAACTCAAGCACCCATTGGTCCTGTGATTGAACCAGCTTGATGTATTTCAGTGTTAAGATCTTGGTCTCTGAGGTCAGAGAAATTTGTCTTCAAGTGTCTGCTCCTCCACTTTCTTACAGAAGTTCATTGTAAAGGTCTGAAGCGTGGTTTCCCCTTCTTTAGAATGTGGTCATAGTAGTACCTATCCCAGAGTTACTGTAAATATTAAATGAGAGAATCCATGTAGAGTGCTTGCTGTGGTGTTTGACATGTAATCAATATGCCAAGTGGGAGAAGGCAGCAGATATGTAGATTGCAGAATCAGTATGACACGTGTACTACTAAGACAGCACAGGAAGGGTACCTAACTCACTAGGGATGCAGGAAGATTTCCTAAAGAAGGTCATGTTTAAGCCAAACATCAGATGACTAGTGGGAGTTAGCTGGGTGAAGGAATTGCATACTAGTAGAGGAAATAGCTTTATAAAGACTGGGAAGCAAGTAATACAGCTCAGTATTTTGGAGGAACTTTAAGATCAGTGTGGTAATGATGAAGTAAAAGGAGCAAGAAGTAAGACCAGAAAGTGCCTTTTATGCCTTTGGTGGGGGGGAGGTCACTTCATCCCAAGAGTAGTTGGTAAGGGGTTTTGTTCAGTCCTTTGGAGTGCTTACCATGGGGCACTGTGGGAATGGATTGATGTAGGTAGACCAGTTCGAAGCTATTAAGGTAGGCTTAAGAGGACAAGTAGCTCGTGAATGTTGGTTTGAGAAGCATTTGGGAGGTTAAGAAAACTTGGTGCCTAATTAAGAGAGGAGGAAGGAAAGAGGGTCACCAGAAGAGCAATGAGGCTTTGAGTTTGGGTGCTTGTATGACAGAGATACCAGGAAATGAGAACACAGGGAGGTATAGGGTTAGAAAGAAGATCAGGAGGCTCTTGGATGTCTGGGTTGCTCAAGACAGATGAAGCTAGAGGGAAAGATTTTGCATGTCAGCACAGAGGTAGTAACTGAAGTCTTGGGACTGTTGTTGGCTCATTGGTCATTGGTGCATGTCTGTTGTTCTTTTTTTATTTAAAAGAGTAAAAGAAGGAT